CAGACTTTGAGAATGGATTTCGTTGAGATTGAGTGGCGATTTGTGTGGGATTTCAGATTTTCATATTTGTGTTAACATTTTTTCAGAGGATTTTGCGTAGAGAAATGAGATATCAGAGAAACTGAGAAATTAGGGATTTTTTCCCCTTTTCAGACGCTGGACCAGTTTTTCAATCGGTTCGGTCCGACCGGCGGTTTACACTGTTCATGCGGTTTATTAACGGTTTATTTATTAATGTCGGGTTTTATGTTGGCTCGAACTGGACACATGATCGGGTTCTGGTCCAACCGGTTGGACCAGTTGGTCCGGTCCGGCTTTTAAAACAATGGTTTTTAGTTTGTTAATACTTCCTATTAAAGAGATTTTAACATATTTTGTAAAACTTTAACAAATTTTGTAAAACTTGGGGAAGATTTTTGATAAATTTTAAAGAGTGAAAGGCATAGACCCATTAGAGTTATGATATTATCAAACTGAAATAACAAAAATTCATAGACTATTAACAAATTGTTAGTGAATCATTAAAATTTACTTTATCATAAGTTAATAAATATTATTAAAATTGTCTTCTTACTGTTTATTGTAATAGTTGGAATTTATGGTTGGAACTTAACGGCAGTGGGATTCATATCATTTTTGAAACTTTAAAGAGATTTTTCTTATTTTATTATTTCTTTGGGGATTAATTCATTAACCCAATTTTAAAAGAGATTTATGACAATCATCATAAATTCCAACAAAAAAATTGTTGAAAATTTTTAAATATCGCTTATCTATGTGAAACATTGGATGGGGAATAAGTAATTATCAAATGATGTTAATTCTCTCACATGATTTTGTACCAAACTACCAATATTGGAAAATAACTAGATGAAGAAATTTATTGATTGATTTCTTAATTTTCAATTTTTTTTTGACAATGAGAATTGAGAAGTTAGAACCATGAAAATAGAACGGGATTGGTCTATCCTTTGAACCATTGTTTTAAAAGCAGGACCGGAAGGTAACCCGCGCTGCTGTCCGGGTCACCGGTCCAATCGGCAGTCCAACCAGACCGATTGAACCGTGACCCGGACAGCAGCGCGGGTTACCTTCCGGTCCTGCTTTTAAAACAATGGTTCAAAGGATAGACCAATCCCGTTCTATTTTCATGGTTCTAACTTCTCAATTCTCATTGTCAAAAAAAATTGAAAATTAAGAAATCAATCAATAAATTTTGGACCGGTGACGTCATCACACATCGTGATGATTTTTTTAAGATTTCTATTTTTTAATAAGATAATAACAACTTAATTACTGTCCAATATGATTCAAAGTTCAAATTCAACAACAATCTCAACATAAGTTAAGTATTGAAATTGATGTAGGATCGTTATCCGAGTTCATACAGGTGGTAGTACCATAGACAGATTCTGGAGCAATTTGACGAGTAGCCCCACCTGAAACGTACTTGACAGCAGAAATCTTAGATACAACTTTGATCACGAACCCAAGTCCGCCCAAGGGTATCATTCAGAGGGGTAACTGTCGGCGCACCCATGTTTACTCTATAAACTGTCTCCAACACCTACCACATCAGGCCTTGGAATTTCTCTTGTGGGCTAATGAGGATAGCATCATCAGTTATGAGCTGGTCAGGAACTGAAACAACTTCAATGGCATTTATGAATGCGAATGAATTGTTTGATGGACTGAAAGTGATAACAAGGTTATCAGTGGTTACATTCACCGAAAACTCTTTAACTACTTTAGAGTTTGTAGTGAAATTGCTAAGGAGGCCATACTTTTGGCTGGAAACTGAAAAAGTAGCCTTGCTCATAATGAAATTCCCCGAATCAAATGGATTGAAGTAAAGCCGAATCTAGTGCCTACCAGTTTGGCTAATAGAAAAGGTGTACTTCGAGGATCCAGTAAAAATTATAGCTGTTTGATACAGCGACGAATCATTGGAGGAGGTCACAAGTTTTGAAGTATTGACGGTAATATTTTGTGGAGAAGAAAGCAATTTACCAGCCAATTTATCAGCCATGAACACACGACCATCCACTGTAGTATTGGTGAGTGATCTACAGTCTATGAGGTAATTGTCTTTAGGAGCAAATTGACAACAACCAAAACATGCTAAACACAAGATTGACACAACCCAGATTAACAAATGAAACCCTCTACAATCCATCATAAGAAAGTCTTGAAATTGATTAAGCAATAAAAAGCTTGGTCCTCTTAGAGCTTACAATGAAACAAAATCTAGGGTTGCAATACAGAAATAAAAACACAAAAACTTATTGCTGCTAATTTAAAACACAACTGGAATCAATAACCCATATAGAGATACGAATAAAGAAGAGAAAAGATGTCACCTTGAAGATCATTCAAGCTCCAACATAGAGAAAGAGGGCTTAGATTTGTGAATTCACAAGTAAACAGCAAACTCTGAGGACCCTTTTGAGTATTTGAGAACGTTAACTACATAACAGGAAAATGTTGAAAACAAAAATAGTGGAAACAAATCTAGCCAAGTGCGTCGATTTCCGTCGAGGGAGGAACGCATCGTCGATTTCCGTCGAGGGAGGAACACGTCATCGCGATTTCAGAGACTAGATTGTGATTTTAGTAAGGGATGGTTGCGATTGGCACCCGTCGTCAAAATTGAGTTTTGATTTGTGATCTTTTTCAAATTTTCGAGACTTAATTCAAATTTTTTCAGAGTTTTTTGCATGTAGAGGAACTGAGGAAGAAGAAACTGCGCAATGCAAAGGGAGAAAGGGAGAAATTAGGGTTTTTTTTCATTTTTCAGTTGGACCGGTTTTTCTTGTGGTCTGGTTGGACCGGCGGTCCAGTACTGTTCACACTGTCCATTACGGGTTAAAGCGGTTTATTGCATAATAGTGGGTTTAAGGTTGACTCGAACCGGACACGTGACCGGTTCATGGTCCAACCGGTTGGATCGGCTGGCCTGGCCCGGCTTTTAAAACAGTGCTTTGAACAATAAAAAAGAAAAAACAAAGTTGTAATGTTAGAATTAACATTATCTTTCACATAAATCATTGAATAATTGAACATATATGTTGATCCTGTTTAAAAAGAAACGTTACATTAGCAATATAACTACTCCCTTAATCTTTTATTCATCCATTTCAGAACCAAAAAAAATCATTACTATTACAACGTAATAACTCCTTAATCATTTTATACTTTTGGGTTTTGAGAGCAATAAAAGAACCCCCTTTTGAAGTTGTGATGCAAAAATTAGGGCAAAATTTGGCATATGTTTGTGGCACAAGGTTGTGTAATATCACATTCACATTCTAGTGTGTGTAGATGGTTGATTGTTTCCTCCATTGTTGAGAAGTCACTTTCAAATCTTAAAATAGATCGAAAAGGAGCACCTAAGACAGGAGTTAATTGGATGACTCCAACTCAACTTAATTAAATTAAACACACTTCTACTTAATTTATCACTAAAAGCAGAGATTAGTTATGTTTTTTTTTTTTTTTTTACTCAAATGGGTTGTCGGCAGTTGCTTTTCTTTTTTCTTATTTCAGTAGTTGTGATTTTTACTACTCAAATAAGCGTATTTGGTATATAGTATCCATAATATCCACATAATTTAAAAGTTAAATACATTTTGGTCCTTGAGGTTTGGCCTACGTAACATAAGGTCCAATAGAATCTAACCATAAAACTTTTTTTTTTTTTTTGGGTAAAAGTCTGAAATAAATTTTTAAATTTAAATTAATAATGTAAATCTTTTCTTATGTAAATGAAATTAAAAATAGACAGCTGCCAACTGAGAATGCTAGTAAAAATTTAGAACAATTCCATTGATTAAGAAAATAAAACTCAACATATTAAGGGTATTTTAGATATTAACAAAATAATTTCAAAAAATTGATATCTAACACTAACAAACAAAGACCTAAATGTTACTATCAGATTCAATGGGACCTGTTTTTTGGGCCATACCTTATAGAACAAAATGATTTAACTCCAAAATTTAACATAGATATATAATATCAGACGTGAAACTTTTAAAATAATAGATAATAGATTGGTAACATTGAGCATAAATATTATTGATACGAAATTTTAAAGTGTTAAACAAATATTTGGAAAAAAGAAATTATAAATTTACGATATCCTACCACCTAGTTTTATTATTTTACAGGGATATACAATAACAATTATAAATAAAAAAAGAAAATGTTTGAGACTTTTAACTTCAAATTTTGAAGTTATAATCTNATCTGTATTTGCTTATAACTTTCTTGTTTGCCTGTGAACTTCTTGTAATTGTTCTTGGTAATAAATTTGCAAAAGATTAGGTTTGTGGCAAGTGCTTTCATTTCTTGCATCTGTGTTACTGAGTTGTCAACATTATTGTGAAGCTGTTATGTGGAAGATATTATCTTTATTCCTTAGAAGATTTAGATTTGATGTTGGATTTTGAACTAGTGTCAAAATCTGTTGTCAAATATGTTATTTCATGATTCCATGTCTCATTATTTGACCATTAGAATTCGGATTGTTGTAAGTAGCAGTTTGCAGTTGGGGTTTATCTTTTATCAATATTGTTTTGTCAGGTTCTGACTGTTTCTTACTATAGTCGCAGAATTGTTCCTTTTCATGAATTTCAAAATACACCTCAGCTTTAATATGCTCAGGTTCTTTTAACTGTTCCTTTCAAAAAGACTGATCAAGGTGAAATATTCACATGATATTGGTGTTGCAATATGGAATTATCCTATTGACTGGAAGAATTTGTTGATGTCTTGATAAATGCTATGTATGGTTGCTAATATATTTTTTCTTTTATTTTCTTCTATATGCTTATTGATGTGATGGTATTATTTTATGATTTTGTAGTGTTCTTTTGTGTAATCAAACCTATATATGTAGGATAGGATATGGATGTCAAAATTTAGTAGGATTATGATATCCTTATTAGATTATTTTCTATTGATTGTCACACTAAATGGAATTAGTCTTCGGGTTCTGATTAATACTTGATGTTTTGGACCAGAAAAGGGAGGCTCCACCTGGTGAGAAGCCTGAGCCAGTTCGCACTCACCTCCGCAACATGATTATTGTGCCAGAAATGATTGGAAGCATTATTGGTGTTTACAATGGCAAGACCTTTAATCAGGTTGAAATCAAGCCAGAAATGATTGGGCATTACCTGGCTGAATTTTCTATTTCATACAAGCCTGTGAAGCACGGTAGACCTGGTATTGGTGCTACCCATTCTTCAAGGTTCATTCCTCTGAAGTGAGATATATGCCAGTTACCTGGATACTTAGTTTATTGTTTTTATCTGGAAAGACATCTGTGTTGATCAAATTTTTGTTTGTGCCCCTTTCAACTTCTGGACAACATATTAATGTTTGATTTGTTAATTTAGATGATGGAACTTCAGAATCTAGTTTAAAGGAGCTGGTTTGTTTTATGGTTTCTTCACATTCTATGGTAGAATAAGTTTCTGGTTTTTCAACACCATTGGTTAAATGTAATAGTTATGCATGTCTCTGTTTTTCTTCGGTAGCTGCGTTCTGCTCCTTTCCCTGTTGACGGATGGTAGCTTGCAGACTGAATTTTTGTGCTGCTCGTTTCCCTTTGAATTAATGTAGCTTCCTTAGTGAATTATGGTCGACTATGCAGAAGGCAGCACTTTTTATTTGGTATTCCTTTATCATCGTAAAAATTGGAGCCAGTTCAGTACTTCAGTGAAACGAGGAGGATGATTATATTCTGTGTTTCATTTTATTTAAGTAAAATATCTAAATTAGAACAATTCTACTCATGGGGCCTAACTGTTTTCGGCTTTCGAATGATGGTTGATGGGGCAAGCAATCTGTGAATCTGTGTTTTTTGGGGTTTTATCCAGGTAGGGTCTTACTATATCCGGACTTTTGGGCTACTAGGGAATTATTTCATTGGGTTTTCAGATGTTTAGGCGTTTTTGTATTAAGAGGAGAGGAGCAATTAAGTATCGTAATGTCTTCGTCACAAGAACAATGTACTATTTTAATGCTCATCACAAGGACGGGAAATGAGCCCTTAAGATGTGATCGAATACGACGAATTATAGTAAAACGTACATGCTTAACCAGTTAACCATTCAAAGTGCTGTTGGATTACTTTATTTAAAGAAAAAAAAAAAAAACTTGTATGTTAAACACGGAGGTTATCATCATCAGTTTTAGGAAATAGGATTTATATAATTAATATATAATTTGTAACATTATTCTTTCAATATAATCCGTTTATAATAAAACAACAATTAAGAATTTTACAAATCTAACCTAGATATGGGGCTGGGAACAATTGATAGTGAACTCACTTTCAAACTTGAGTACCTGGGCAACCTGGTGTCCTTGTCTTGGCAAATTGGTTTATCTCTTCAGTCCTTCGTCAACTCCACAGGAAGACTTGACCTGAGCTCGAGTTCACACTGGGCCTATATTGTCCGGGGAATCGCCATCGCCCCAACATATATATAGTTTATCTTGAAAGATTTTCTTTGATACGGGTTTATTTACAATAATAATTATAGTAAGTTTGGTACATGTACGTTAAGGTTGATGGCTAATTTACACGTAAGCTAGTTTAGACACTCTAATAATTAAAAAAAAAAAAAATACAGCACAATGACATGGACACAAATGCTAATTTAAACATATAATCGTTGTATTAGTCAATTTAAAGTAGTATGTATTGAAATTAATCACGTTTTACACGACGAACACACATTCTAACACGTGCACGTATATATATATATATATATATAAAGCCTGGGTAACTTGTATTGTAATTGGCTTATTTCTTTTTCTAGCCTCTTTCTCTTCTTGTTTGGCTTTCGAAACTTCCTGGCAATGGAATAAGAAGTTCCTGCTCTACTTCTATTAGTGCTCTCTGAACAGCCTTCTTCAACTCTTCATCTCCCATCTGCAATTTTCATTCTTATAAATTAATTAAATCTAAATATATAACAACTACTTGATCTCTAGTAAAAGAGGTACCATCTACAGTTTTAATCCCGTACCTGAGATTCAGCATGTATTACCGCTGTCAGTTTCTGATCAGAAAATTCTGATTGAATATTTCTGATTCTTGAACCCGTCTTTTTCAAGGATTTAAGAGCCTCGACCATATAATCAATCCCAGATATTGGATTAGTTACTCTTATTCCAATCTTTGTTCCCTCATTAGTATCCTTTCCCAGCTTCGCTTCTAGCTCATTGTTTCTCCTCTCAAGTTCCACCTTATAACATTCCAGCTCCCGGATTCTCATCGCCGCCATTTGAACAGTCGAGTTCTTGTCAATCTGATATTAACAAAACATGCCCATTAGCGTATTACATAAGTTTCAGAGATAGTTAAAACAAAGAAAATGTTAAATAACACAACTTTACTCATTTCAATGAATATACAGTTTTTTTTTAATCATGTGTATTGATGTGTCACGTTTAAGAGCAGCCTTAAATATTCACTAACCCTGGTGCCAGTTGACAACATGGAACGCAAGGCGAAGTAATTCTGCTTCTCCCTTTCTCTCCTCATCCTCTCGTTAATCATATGCAGGTGACCCCGTTCTCTGTCTGGTTTAAGTGGTTCCTTTTTTGCAGACTGATTAATTCTCCTCAAGAATTCTATCATTCTCTTGTTGGCACTCCAAGATTTAGACCCGTTACCAATACTCGCTGACCCAACTTCAATTCTGGGTCCGTTAGCATACGGCATAAAAGCGCTTCGATGCACAGGAAGAGACTCAGAGTTAAACCAGAATATATCGCCGTCGCCATAGAATTGTTCTTGAAAGAAATTTTCCATTTAGTTGTCTCTGTTTACTCTGGGAATCTCGAATTTGTCTGGGTTCCAGTGGCTATATATAATAGAGCAGTCTTCTTTTAAGACATATTTAACACGTGGGTCAAATCGTTCAGGTTTCTCACACGGTCGCGGCGATTTCTCCTTACTCCTAAGTCCTAAGTCAGAGACGACTGACTAGTAAACAAATATTGCCAATGGTTTTGTTCGTACAGTCACGCGACAAGATTGGTCATGGTGAATTAGAAATATTTCCGTCTTCCAAGTGGGCCCCTAATTATGTCCGTGTGATTCAAATTCTACGGTTCATGGTACCAATAGTGTGCTAGAAAACTGTGATTGTTTGCTGTTAATTAAAGTTGACGTCTGCCCATTTGATCTAGAAAGTACCTCTTTAAATTAGTATTTGTGTTTGGGCAGAGTTATTTTTAAATTAAGATGATTTTCATCTGCTAACATAAAAAACGGTAGCAGTTTTTCCTAAACAATGACAAGAGTTACATAATTTATCTATACAATAACGAAGGGCCAGCCAAAATCAGGTTATACATTGAGATCTACTGATTTAATACAGTATGTTTGATGATCGGTTCCTTTCCATTGTCTACTAAAAGTTGTTGACTTCTTTCCCTAAGTTGTTGGTTTTGATTCAGACTCATTGGTTAGAGCATATGCTTCTTCATCTTCAGAATCTACAGGTTCAGTTTCTGATTCCTGATCTTGTTCATGATAAGGGAAGTTTGTTTCTGTGTGGAGATTGTGAATTGAGTTATCACTTTCATATTCACCATCATTTCCACTGTCATATGTCTCTAAATATGCATCATCTCCTTCTTGCTGTAATGGCACACAAGGATGAAATAAGATGTGAGACCAGATGATTAAATAAATAAGCAGTAGCGAATGATCTAGAAGGTAAACTGAAAGCAGACCTCAATGTCATCATCGTCAGTGGCATAAGCAGAATCTAATCTGTCATACAACTCCACATCTCCCCGGTCTTTCACGGTGTTCATTTGTTCCTATCAATGCCAAGCAAGAGACGAAAAAATTTAGTTTAAAAGAAGGCACTATCATACCTTCATATTTACAACAACTAGGTTATATATAGCAAAAGCTAAAATGTGTAAGCCTTACAATTTCGAATCTTAGTTTCCCTACATTCGTCTCCAGAAGGGAAAGATGCTTTAGAAGAGCCTGTTCAAAAAATACATGAGAAAAATCAGACAAGGTTAGAGGTATCTGAAAATATTGGAAGTGATTAAAGCAAGATCCATGTTTAATTGGGCCAACATAAACGTTTATACACCACCATCACCGCACAACATTGGTTGGCGTTGGCAGGCTCATTCCAGCACACACACCCAAGTTCAGCCTGAGGGTGCTCACTACAGAAAGGGGCAGTGGAAACCCCCTTTTATGGCCCAGATCAGGCCCTTACCTGGGAGTTTCCTGATCAGCAACAAGAAAATTGTCCTCACTAGTGAACATTTGGGACTACCTAGTGTATTTTCTCAGATGCACATGGAACATTCTATCCAGTTATGTATGTACAAATGCGGTAATTTTAGATTAGTGCTATATAATTTTTGTAAGATACCTCATGTCTTTGGAGTTCAATTGAACGTGCCAAAGCTTTCCTCTTTGTCAAAAGATTTCTTGGCCTCAATTTGGAAGGCCGCTTATAGTCCTTTCCCCTGAATACAATTATAGCATAACCTTTGGAGATTTTGTCCACTGAAACCAAGACACCCCCACTTTCAGCTTCAAGTGCTAATGCAACTTTTTTAACCTGATCAAAAGTTTTCACCTTCACAATAATTTTAACCAATTCTCGATATTTCCAGTGCAAGTGCATATTCTCCACTGTACCATCAAAAACTCCACGCCTACCTGAACAAGAAATCAAAATCCCATAAAATCTCATATTTGAAATAAACATGTAAAATATGGCAGTTGAAGAGATTGTTTACCCAAAAGTAAGAAAGCCTTCATCCTCAAACCAAGCTTGCGAAACATAAATCTCTCCTCATCAGTTATGCTCTCAGGATCTGCTTGTCTTTCTGTTGGTTTTAAAAACTCCTCCACTTTCGATAAGGCTCGTTCAGCTTTCATTAGCTTTCGTTCAGCCTGAAAAAAGAAAAAAAATCCAGGTTACTTCCCCAAAATTCGTCCACCTTTTCACAGCAACCAAAACCCGAAGGCCAAATTATGGAGATTACGCTAAAGGATACACATGATTGTGTGATGTGCTATGCTATCAATAAATGTATAATATCTTATTTTATCACATTACATTACAAAAGTTAGATTCGAAGAATCTGCAAAGCAATGCAAAACAGTAACGTTGATTAGAAACCATATGAGTGTTGTAGAATAAAAAAGTTTTCCCAATAACATAGAAACTGAACAATACTGCATCAGATCATAGCAGGAATTCCCAATTTTCAGGAACTCACAATAGCAAGCTTTCTTTCCAGTTTTCTGACGAGGCTGGCATGTCTCATTATTTCAGCTTCTCTCATCACATTTTCCTTATGATTGTCATCCAGCATCCTTCCCCATCTAGCATTTGCATCCAAAGTTTCCCCAAGGGTGCCTGCAGTACCTGATTGCTCACTTACTTCAGCACTTGGCAAGACAAAGGCTGATGCTCTTAACCGAGCTTGCTCTTCTTCATCTTGCAGAGACTTAGCCAGCCTCTCCCTTTCCAATAATGCTTCAGTGACATCTGGTGATAAAAAATCTTTTCCCCGATAGAAAACCAGAAAATCCTTGTTTCTTGAGAGCAATTTGCCACCCGTCAATTTCTGCAGCCAATACCCAATGTTTTTATACAGCATCTTAGAGTTGATAAAGATGGCTTATTGCATTGATCAAATATAAACAGATAAATTCCAGTTACTGTATACAGATGAAGTCAACAACATTTAATTCTCTCTAAAAATATTACCTTGATATCTTCAGCCATTCTCTCACTCGTAGTGAGCTGTACACCACGTTTAAGAGCAATCTTGGCAATTGAACTTTTTTCCCATAATTTAATCACGGCCACAGCCAAACCTTGGAGCTGCCTGCTTCGACCTGAAGATAGGAAAATTTAAATGTAATTGAAAGACCATCTTCAGAAGCATATGAGCTTATCCAAGATATGTGGCATACCTAAGGCAAAGTGTGGAGGAAGAACACGGGCAAGCCTTTGCAAATTTGTTGCCTCTTTTCGTCCAACAGTAGATCTCACCCCATAAGGAAGCACTCTGAATGGAGGTTGGTAATCAGTAACTATACCAGGAAGCATATCTGCATCCACAGGATATGGTTCACATCCCTGCCAATCTGTATACCTGGGACCCAGACCCTCTAATAGCTTGTCTACTTCATCTTCATACTTTACTTCTGGCACTGATTCCCTATCTTGCTCCTCAGTAGTCATTTCCAGGTTTGTTTCAGGTGAATGCACAATATTATAAGAGCCAAATGTGGAAGGATCTTGAGCAGGAACATCAGTAGCTTTTGATAAGGAATAACTAGATCTATCATTTCTCTTATATATCTGTTTATCAGGAGCTCTTGCTAAGGAGCTTGCAGGTAGTTCATTTCTCCTATACATCCGTTTGTTCAGTTGCACAGAAGGAACCTCATAACTCACACCTCTGTACAAAGAAACAGCAGTGCCAGATCTCCATATCACCAACCCACCAGTTTTTCTCTAAGGAATAAAGACAATAGGAAAAACACAAGCATCAGTAGAACCAAATAATTGGTTAATGCAGATTAAAATTCTAGCAATCAATCANTACTTTGCTTCTTACTTTTCCATGAGACCAAATTTCCACCAATAAAAACACAATAGCTCGTAGTGGATCTCCTATTTATCTTGGAACCCGCCCAATCTGCATCAGAGAAGCACTCAGTATTATTATGTCCATGATTTCTATACAAAATACCACATCCTGGAGCTCCTTTCAGATAACACAGAATCTGTTCTAACGTTGCCCAATGGTCAACAGTAGGAGAAGACATGAATTGACTTACTACACTGACAGAGTACGCAATATCAGGACGAATGACTGTCAGGTAGTTCAACTTTTCAACCAGTCTTTTATACCTCTTAGGATCTTCAAATAGTTCACCATCTTTTGTAAGTTGCGAATTAGGAAACATTGACGTACTGCATGGCTTAGCACTCAATTTTCCTGTCTCAGTTAATAAGTCAAGTACATATTTCGTTTGAGAGTAGAAGATGCCTTTCTTGCTCCTTGTTACCTCAACCCCTAAGAAATACTTCAACATTCCTAAATCTTTTGTATGAAACTGAATGTGAAGAAATGACTTAAGTAATGAAATCCCTGTAGTGTTACTCCCAGTGATGATAATGTCATCAACATATACAACAAGAAGAATAATGCCAATTGCCGATTGTTTGTAAAGGACTGAATGATCAGACTTGCTCTTTGTCATTCTGAACTTTGCAACTATCTCACTAAACTTTCTAAACCAAGCACGTGGACTCTGTTTCAAACCATACAATGATTTGCGAAGATGACAAACTTTCCCATACTCCTCCTGGGCAACAAATCCAAGTGGTTGCTCCATATAGACTTCTTCCTGAAGGTCATCATGTAAAAAGACATTTTTTATGTCCAACGATGTAATGGCCAAGAATGAGTAGCCACTATAGAGATAAATAAGCGAACAAAAGTCAATTTAACCACAGGGGAAAAAGTGTCAGAATAATCCACTCCATAAGTTTGAGCATAGCCTTTAGCTACAAGATGAGCTTTAAGCCTAACCACTGACCCTTCAGGATTTACTTTAACTACAAACATCCATTTGCATCCAATAGACTTCTTTCCAGTAGGTAGGCGGTGAGAAAAAATGGCCACTCTCCAGGGTGACTCACAAATAATGCTCACTTGGGTAGAAAAGAAAAAAAAAACACGAATTTAAAAAAAAACAACCTAGAATTGCTCTGATACCATGTTACAAACAGAGAATTGATTGTAATATTTTTCATATTGTATTGACAAATTATACATCAATATATAGGAAAATAAAGAACTAATCTAAGAAATAAATAATCTAACTTCCTATTTTACAGATTTGTTCCTAATATGTATTGATTACAATCCTAATATCCTATTATTGATTTATACACTTAATCATGCAATATCTATAAGATTTTGCATGATTATCTACAACAAGGACATCTGGACTAGGAAAATAAGTAATTTCCTTTACTTGTGATGCAGAATGGAGCTTTAGCTGAAGCTATACGGATATGGAAGCGCAATTTTGACAAGGAATTTGAAGGTGTTGAGGAGTGCCCTATTTGTTACAGTGTCATCCACACTGTGAGCCATGGTCTTCCTCGTCTTGCTTGCAAGACATGTAAACACAAGTTCCATTCAGCTTGCTTGTACAAGTGGTTCTCAACTTCTCACAAATCATCATGCCCGTTGTGTCAGTCTCCATTCTGACATAGAAGTCAATTTTATGTGATTGTGGATACTGCTTTTCTGGTTGCAATTGACTTAAGTTATACAAAAGATCTGACCATCACAAAACGGAAGCGCGTATACTGTATATACAGCATGAAGCTGCAATTCTTGTGTGAAAGACATGGGAGTTGATTCCGATCACAGGGCTGGACCTCACATCTAAGTGCAGAGTTGTTTTTCTCTCTACCTTCTACCTCTGTTTCCAGTATGTAAGTTTATGCTTAATGTATTGTGCAGCCTGTTTAGTGTGATTTTGAAGCTTTCCTCTGGGAGCATAAATGATGCCTGCTACTAGGTGAGCTCTCACTACTTATTGAGCTAACATTGCAAAGGCAGTTTTTGTTCCATGAAATTTTATAAAATCTGTTTGTAGTGCATGTTAGATTCTTGGTTTTATCTATGTTCTCGGGGGAAGTTTTAAGAAAATTGGACGCAACTCCAAGTACATAGTTTTCTATGTTTGGTGTTCAATGTTTTTTATTGAGATCATGGAGCCTGAATTTTGAATTTCTTTACTCTTTAAAATTAATGTTTTCTACTGTAACTGTCATATCCAGATTAGTTTTGCAAATTACCATTCGTTTTGCCCTTCAATCTTTCATTGGAGGGCTGTCACCAGTCTTCTGGTGTTGTGTTATTCCCTACTGGAGATACAAGGACCAACGCTGGCATTAATTTTGTTTGGTTGCTGCTTACGCAACAAAGATTATTCTGATTTATCAAACCTCTTGTGTGCACGGAATCCTTGACACTCGACATTTTGGTGCCTGTTTGTAAAATATGAAGATATTCTTTTTATATTTTGGCATTTGTCAATTAATTCATTTGCAGATTATCTAATCATCTGTTTGGTATATTTTCTTGTAGTTATTGCAGACATGCTGATTCAGGCAGTGCAATAGCTGTTTTGCAGTATAGAGTTTGATCAAGAAAGGATGACAAAAGATTGTGTATATTAGTCAAGAGGTAAAAAAGGGTTCCTGAAATCAAATATTTAGGGTTGTCTATAGTTCCGAAGAGCAGAACTTTCTTTATTTGCCAATTTTGTTTTGTAATATTGATTTCATAAATTTATAAACTGAAATAATATAGGGAAATTTTGTTTTCATTATTTGTTTAAAGCTTTAGGTTAAAGAGCAAGAGTTTACCATTTCGTGAAGTTCAAAATGCATAGACTTAATTCTATTATTAAAAACTCCGGTGAGCAAAGATCGTTTCAAATTCTGAATGTCAGATACCTTGCTTGGCCAGGAATTTGATAATCAGAGATTTCTGGAAACTTTGTAAAAACCCCGGGTCGGGCTTGTTTCGGCTGGGCCCTTTTTTTAAATCCAATCCAGGGCCCGGGAAAAAGCCTGCGTTTTACACCCGAGCTTTAGGCCTGGGTTTGGATGATATGATTAGCGGTTTTTTTACCTTACTTTTTAGGGGTACTTATAATTTTATATTATAAGAAGTAACTGAATATAGTTTATGGGGCAATCTGAAACTTTTTAAGAGACTAACTTTTCAAGGGGTTTTAGTAATTTTATGTAAGAGCTATCACAAATCACAATGTCCGTGTGTTGACTTGTTGCGTACTTGCATATGCCCAAACCCAATGTTTTAAAAACTAACCCAGGGCAAAACCTGACAAGGTGGCCGGGTCTTGGGTCAATCGGTTCCGATTGAACCAGCTGGTGACGTTATCATGTTGATGTCGATGATGTTAGTAAATTACTGTTCACAGAATGTCAATTTCCAGATTTGAATAATAATAATAGCATGGTTGTGTGCTCTACATTTTTTGACCTTAAGATTTCAGGTCACACTACAGATGACCATAAATTCCCCCCATTGAATGGTGATCTTGCAAACTCTCAATTGATCTCAAAAAATTCAAAGAAGAATGTACTATAACACATTTCAGAACAAACTACAAAGCATGCAGCATCATTACCTCTACTTCACCCTACAGACCAGAAAAAGTAACCTTATTAAAACCAAGTTCTCTAACACCAACAATTAACCCAAAATCAATCTCTTACCAAAGGAAAAAAACGAAAAGGCTTTATCTACCATACCATCGGTACAGATCGTCCTAATCCACGTGGTTAGCTTATAATCTAACATGTTTTTCTTTTCATTTTGGTGCAAAAATGATAAATGAGCATTTTTCCCGCAACAAAATGTAGTGTTATAGGTTTGGTCTTTGATTATTTATGTTATCCCTTGAATTTGCTTTTTGTACATTTATGTGAAAGCACCCAAACAAAGACCAAGCCATCACATTAAAAAATGCAAATACAAAATCAATGTGAAAAAATGGTTACCGGGTGCCGGTGAAGATGAGCTACCGGAGAGGTGGAGCTCGACTGTGACAGATGAACAAAGCAGAAGACAAGAACGAAGAAAAAATCGCGACTAGCGATAGTTCCTGAGCAAGAAGAAGACGAGAACGACGGTATAGCTCCCAGATCGATGATGACGGATGAACAGAGCAGATCGACGATGAAGAAGAGTGAAGAGAGGACAGAGAAGAGATCGCGAAATGGGAGGAGATTCGCGATACCCTAGCTAACGATGAACTATGCAATTGACGGTGAAAGCTGAAGCGACGAGATTCGACGATAAAAGGGAGACTCCGGTGGATGATGAAATCTTTCAGACCAAAAGGGAGAGAAGTGGCGTGAAAATGGGGGGCAATCGTTGATAACTTGATATTTGCTTTAAGATGGGGGGTTTAATGTTTAATTTTTATATAATATGGGTTTAATTAATATTTTACTTTTTAAATTTTAACTGACCCGATTTCTGTAAAAATAACGATTGGACCGATGGGTGCTACAGTACACCGGTCCAACCGCGGGTGAAACTAGACAAACTAATTATGCCGGGTTTAAGGCTCACCCGGCTCGGCTAGCTAGCCGAGTCCCGGTTGAATCGGTTCAACTTGCTGGGCCAGGTTTTAAAACATTGGATAATACTTAATTCAATAAAATAGGAAACGGAAAACATAATAGATGGTTCATTACTTCATCTTTGGTAAGAAAATCACCATTAATGTGACATTTATTTGTAAATAATTAACCATGTTACACCTCAAGAGGATCAATCCACATTATAAATAACATCTTACATCAAAATTTTCCATTAAAAGGACACAAATGGAATTAATCTGTATACGGTGCATGGCTTCATGTAGGCCCATAGCCGTCGAAGAATTTTCAACAAAACAATTTAACTGAATATGAGAATCTATAATCTCACAGGTATCACACTAATTGTTGAAGGAAATTAGAGTAAGTCGGGCAAGCGAATGTGCTACATTTCAATGCATTATAAAAGAAGCATCTTACACATGTCATCGCATCAATGGAGCCAAAGATCTCATCTCTACTCCATTCGCATTGGATAAGTAGTACACTTTCTTCCAATTTTCCTCTGTGAATACCTCCCTGCTTACTAGTCTTTGTCTGCCAGAAAAAAAAAAAACAAAAAACAAAAAAGATGCACAATGACTGAGATCTCAAATTATGTTAAGTTCTAAGTTGAATAGTTCCAAACAATACATCTACAGTGGAAAATTGCATGTCCGAAAAGAAGCTAAACAAAGACAGATGACAACCCTTCTATGTAAATCTGAAATCCAGAAAGTCTGTAACTCCTTAAACATACCTAAGGTAGTAATGGCAAACTGCTGCTGCTTCATCAATGTTGTAGCGAGGCAAATTAAAACGGGCATCCACCAGAACATCTGCTAAGTCTTTGCGAAGCTTTCCCACGGCAGTTGAGTGAGAGAAAGCACCCACCATCATTTCATCATGCATCATAGACCTAAAGGCATTCACCTGTCAAGGGAAAAAAAAAAAAAAAAAAAAAGAAAGTAGTCTAAAACAGTGCACAGAAATTGCCGAGATGACAAGTTAACTGTCATTGATGGGACAAAAATGCATGCAGGACAGCAAAACAAGAAACAAAGGCACCCATCTCATCTAAAGATGTTTTGAATAACCATAAGCTCATAAAATTGAAGAAAAAAAAAAGCCTTTAATGCAGTTTACCATGTACAAAAAGTATTATTAACCTAAACAAAAAAATTTAAGAAAAAGAAAAGTTAGTACTAACCATTGTCAATTCTCTAGAATGCACTGGTCGACAAGAACGAATAGTGACTGGCTCTTCATATTCACTGAATGTAAACCAGTTGTTATACTGCAGATAGGTAACAGAAACAAATTCATTCAATAAATACAGAAAGCCATAGCCAACTGCAATAGAGATATAAAAGTGAAAAAAGAAAATTGACCAAAATTTAGACTACGAAATACGGAGCTGGTGCTCACTTGATCAATTGCAATAAGAACAGGGATATCTTTCACAAGTGATAACTCTTTTCTTAAACGAACAACCGCACTAACAGCCGCATGTGTTTGCTGAATTCCCATTTGAACCAGATCATATAGAGTTGAACCTTCGGGGATTTCCTTGGAGTCAACCCCTTTCATATATCCAATACCGGCACCCTTTCCCAGTGGAATAGGATCAAGTATTTGGCATGGCAATTCTCTTAAACGGGATTCATTGTATTTCAAAAAATCCTGTAGAAAATTTGACCAGATAGGTAATTACAATAACACAATGAACCACAGACATGCCTGAAAAACAGAGAAAACCTTACAAATTTGTTTCCATCAAAAGAAGCAGTGACGTGTATCAGCATAACTTAAGATCCAAAAATCAAATTGACATTGTAGCCATAAACACAATAAATGAATAATGATAGTGCATGATTATGGACAGAACTCCTTATACTGCATGCCTCCTTCAAACAAAATTTTCTGGTCTTATGCATCTAGTATGACATTGTCTAGCAACTTTCACATGGAATTTCTGATGTTCATTATAAAACGAATGAAAATTTGCAACCACCTTCTATCATCAATATTAGGTTTAGTCAATATGAAGCAACATACCAATTGCTCATGATAATGACAATAACAATTCATCAAACCATATAGGAAAGAATTCTTGCCTTGAGAACATGTTCAACCTGAAGAGGAGTGTCCCAAAGACCAGTTTGTGGGTTTTTATAAAAGTATCCGCCATGAGTCCACTCCCGACCTCTAGGAACATAAAATACTAGCCAACCTTCATCACGAGCCCAATGAACAAGCATTGCAAACATAATGCTCTTCCCACAGCTACGAGGACCATCCAAGACAACTTGCTTTCTAACTTTAGGACCTGAAAGAAATAAGTAACGAAGTAACTGCATCTTGTTCAATATTACCCACCACAGTCTCACACTCAACTCTCCAACCAATAATTGTGGCATCTATGAGCTTTTATGTGTATGTGTCCATTATTATTAAACTATTCGTAACAACTAAATCATAAAGGACTGTCAATTAATCTGATCAATATCATCAGAAAACATTAATAACAACCAGGAACCATGAAAGTTCTCAATGATACAATGAACTACTAGCAACATGATATTTTAAACTCAAGCATTAATTTCACATCTATAACATATGACTTTGACGTCACTAAAACTTAACAATGATAATTAAAAGGCCATGTTACAATAGAGTTACTATTGCTGCCAACCAGGAGACTCTCATGTTCCCACACCTTGTAATTCTGACATGCTACATTACACATCATTTGACAAATTTGACATCACCCAGTATCAAAACACGGTATAGTAGAAACATCAGAAGCAACTAAATAACACAGGTAGTTTGGTAACATTAGAAGACAGCATTGGAGGATCAACTATTCGCCTGAAATTATCGCGAAGATCCAAAAAACTTTGTCTCACAAGCAATGCATGCCTCATTGATTCTTTAAATTCTTCCAACATTCCCGTCGGCAATCCTTCTGGCAATACCTCATTCAATTCTTCCTCACTACACATAAACAATCCAATCATCAAATACTATTCTGCGTTTAAAATGCTATATATCAAGATGCAAAACAGCAGCAATATTAGTAGAATCTCATTGCATTTAAGGTTACACTACCGTAACAGCCCAGAGGAAAAAACCAAGGCTTGCTTTGTAACACAAAATTTTCAAACAAATTTTAGAACATTGATGTTGTGCAATCCAATGGTATAGAAGTTCATGACTTGGCACTAAATGCCAACTTATCTCAAATCCATTGGGCTGCATCAATATCAATAATTTGTGTAATAAATATTTGTTACTATAGCCCAAACAAATGTATATTATAATAGAATTTGCAAAGGTGTAGGAGGTAAAGTTACCCACTGTACTGTGGGACAAGTCTATTACATTTAAACGTTCTACTATAATGCAGGCCCAGTAACAGCACCGAGAAAACAAGGAGTTCATTTTATTTTTTATTTTTTCAAAAAAAGAGTGCAACGGGACAGTAGTAATTTCTATGAATTTCCGGTAACATAACCGTTAATATGATACCTGAATTTGAAGTAAGTGCAGGCGTCTTTGCGAGTGAGCAAAGAAAGAGAGGGAGTTTTAGTAAAGAGAGGGCGGTTGTTGGGGCCCACATCGAGGAAGGTATCTCGATCGTCTTCAGCTAAGCGGCGAGCGCGAGCCCTAGCCAACTCCATTTCTTCGACTGACGTGGCAGACTCCGATTGGACGGCGGTGGAGGCATCGGAGGGTTTGGACTTGGATTTCTTGTTGTCTTCTGGCTGCTTTTTCTTGTTAGTGCTGTTATTTGATTTTGATGTGAAATTGTTATGGTGATGGGGATTAACAGACGATGTTAAGACGGCGTAGTTTTGGGACTTAGAGAGTGCAGTTCGACAGATGATCCTCAACATTGCTCTGAGTTGGAGACGAAGGGCTCTCACTATTGATAATTTTACGGAGGCTTTAGCTTTGGGTTTGTTTAGACTTATAGAGGGTTTTGAGTTTCGTGGATGAAGAGGTAAATTTGATTAATAACGCTATGTGCACTAATCATAACCAAAATCATACTAACCCAAATAGTACAAACTGATGTGACAGTACCCTTTTATTACCATATCAGTTCCTCCAAAAACTTAAAAAAAAATAATTTAAAATTTCAATTATTAATACTTGGATTAGTACAATTTATTTAGTGCATATAACATTACTCAATATGATTATAATGTTAGGATTTTATGGTAATTGGGTGCTGTTTCATTGGGCCTGAAGCTTGACAAATGGCTTGGTCTATTTGGGTTAGAACATCTTTAAATGAATCTTTATATGATCCAAACTTTTTATTATAAAGAGTTTATCTATAAAAACAAGAATCCAACATACTCTTTATCTTTAAAATATAAATTAGAGAGTGAGTTTAACTCTCCATATTTAGAGAGTCAAAATTCACTCTTTATCCTAATTTTAATTAATAAACTACAAGCTTCTATGCATTTTATATATTAATTCTCTCTCCCATTAAGTCTTTTTCTTATAAATAAAGAGCATCTTCATTAAATTTAAAGAATCTATTGGATTTGAATAAAAATTATGTTATTTATATTTAAAAATTAATGAAGATGTTCTAAGATGCTCTTAATATTTTTTTGGGGTCATTAGTCAATGGTGTGTGATCCAAAAATAATATTTTTAAAAAGGGAAGCTATATCAATATAGGGAAGTGATTTTTAGTCATGTAATTGATCTTCACTCTCATGGCTTAATTAATACCGATAATAACCTTTTAAGCTTAATTAATATCGAAAATAATCTTTTAGGCTTAATTAAGTTTATTTTTTTCAATTTCAAACCTAATTAGGTTTTTTTGTTTTACACCCTTTTTCCCAAATCAGAATTAACTAGGAACACGTTTTTTTTTCCCAATTTTCTAATTTCAACTTATTTTGTCTTCTTCATATTCAAATTCATCTCTTTATGTTTTTTATAATTTCAGTATTATATTTTCATCAAAAAAACAAATATTTAAAATAAAACAAAATATTGTAATGATTATGAAAATTTAGGATTGGGGTTTATATAAGATTAAATGTTAAAAATTAAAAGAAAAGTATAAAATACACAATGAGTGTATTTAAAAATTATAATGTTATTTCTAGTAATTTTACTTAAGGTTAAATTTCTCAAAACAAAAAATAAATTTAAAAGTTGGGGGTGAAGATCAATTAGGTGAGGGATTTCCCATCAATTTAAAGTGATTTTTAGCCTACTATTTTCCTCTTTAGCCCCCTCTTCTGCTTTAGGTGAGGATATAATTGTAATAAAAAAATGGTTCTTCTTCTTCCATATTTTACTTCCTTCAAACCTTTGTGTTTGTAGCTATCAAAAATTAAAATTAAATTTAAGTCAATCAAAATTAAAATAAAGAAACAATTGGGTGCATTTGGTTTATTATTTTGGATAAGACTTTGAGAATAATATTGGGTAGTTGAATAGGAGAGTATTACGAGATAAAATTTAAAAATTTCTAAAAAACCTCCTAAGTTTGCTAATTTAATTAAACACCTCAATATATAAAAATTGTGTAAAATGACAAAAACACCCCCACCACCCACAGTGCCAGATTCTGGCCACAATCGCCAGAATCTAACTGAAAAATTATGTTACGACACAGACCGGCTGGATCTATGTCGTAACGCGTCGATATGGCCTTTTTCGGAAAAGGTCAGATCGGTGAATAATCGGCCATTTCTGGTCGTGGTTTAAGCCGTTGTGACAAATTCTAGCTACCACCGATGGTGGTTGCCGGAATCTGACAAGTATGGGTGGGTGAGGGTGTTTTTGCTAATTTTTAAACTTTTTTCTGAGAGTATTTAATGAAATTAATAAACTTAAAGGGGTCTAAAAGTAATTAAAAAATACACTAATATTTCTCAAATAATATGTTAAACAATATTTGGGGAATAAGATTGGGAATATGAGTAGAAATATTGAACCAAACGCTTTTCTCTATAGGAATTTGTGATATCAAGTGTTTTAATGGTTATGAAACTGAGCTTTTCTTTTGTCAAGTTAGGATTTGTTTAATGCGTATCAAATTGGGTTTTCTTCTGACAAAGTGGGATTTAGAGCTGACTACTTGATTGTAAATGGATATGAAACATGATTTTCTTTTGTTAACTTAGGATTTGTTTTATAGGTATGAAACCTGGTTTTTCTTCTATCAAAGTGAGATTTGGAAGTGATTATTTGATTGTAAGAGCATTGAAGTTGTGATTTCATAAATAAATTAATCCATAATGATATGATAACAATACTGATTAATTTTGTCTTATGTTTTATTGTTAATTCTGATTGATTTAAATTTAATTTTAATTTTTGAGAACCACAAATATAAAAGTTTATATAAAATAAGGAAGAAGAAGAATATATATATATATATATATATCCCCGCTTAAAATTGACTATGGGGGCTAAAGAGAAAAATATCGGGGTCTAAAATTACTTCCCCAATTTAAATTTAAGAATGGAGCTATTAGAACATCTCTAACAATGCTCTTTGTTTTAAAGAGCACATTTCACATAAATAAAGAATATCTTCATTAATTTTTAAATGTAAAAAACAAAATTTGTATTCAAATCCAATAAACTATTTAAATTAGACTTAATAAGTATGAGAGATAATTAATAATAAAATGCATAAAAACTTGTAATTTATTAAATAAAATTGTGATAGAGAGTGAAATTTGACTCTCTAGATGTAGAGAGTCAAACTCACTCTTTAATTTATATTTAAAGAATAAAGAATCTATTGGACTCTTGTTTTTATGGACAAACTCTTTATAATAAACAGTTTGGGTCAGATACTCTTTCAGAGATGTTCTTAGTACCTCACTAATGGACTAAAAATGTCTCATTTCCTAATATACTTTTTTCAAAGTTTTAAAATTAAATTTTTTTCTTATGACACCCCATAAATTTCAAAAATACCCTTCCTTCCATTTTTTTTTTTAATGGGGTTATTATCAATTGGCGGACACTTGTACAAAAAAATAAAGAAATAAAGAAAAAATGACATAAGTTTTATTTATATCAGAAAACGGACACCTTTATCAATCGAACGACACTTTCAGTGAAAAAAATGTTCGTTTATTGATAAAAAAATGTATATTAATTGATAAAGGTGTTTGTTTATTAATATAAATGAACTTATGTCATTTTTCTTTTATTATTATTATTTTTTTAAAAGTTCTCCAATTTATAACATCCCTTTTTGATATTTTAGAAGTTGTTAACATTTCACTCCCTGTTATATAACCCCACCATCATTATTACTGAATTAAAATTTTAGATAATTAAATTGAAAGTTTAGAAAAAATTAAAACTAAAAAAAATCTTTTCAAATAATCTCAAGAACATAACACAATTAAACAATACAAAAAACATATAGATTAAATAACTACCAATACTTTGAAGAAAAAAATGACAATAAATTTATAAGTGAAACAATTAAAAACTTACATTTTTGCATTGCATTTAACATGATATATCTCATTGCAAATCTTCTTCCTCCACTAAACTATCTTTTTGTTATAAGAATGATATGAATCTCATAAAAAAATTAGAGTTTCTGAGATAATAATGGGGTGTCAAAAAGACTTATAAAGAATGAAAAATTAAAGTTAATTTTTACAATTTAATATAGGGATAAATTTATCATTTTAAAATTTACTAAAAAGTGGGGCTTCTTTGGTCCATTAGGGGTGCCAACAAATCCATTCTAAATTAATTCATTTTGATGAATTAACAAAATACAAGTATTATTATTTAAGCCTCACAGTCATTTTTTAAGCCTCACTAATAAATAAAACAATTTTAGAAATACAATTTTTAAATATATAATCCCCCTCTTTGTTTAACTTTTCAAACTCCATCATATCCTAAAAAGTAAAAAACGTATTTGTTTTAATGTTGATTATTTAATTCAAAATCCAATTTTATTCTATTCAACTTAAAATATTTAACAATTATCTTTTTCAATAAAAGTTTATAAATTAAAAAAAAAAAAAAAAACCCCATCCACCCAAGCAACCATTGCCAATCGCCAGAAGTCACCGTTGCCACTGTCGACCACCAGCGTCGAAACGACACATAATTGGCCAAATCTAGCCTATCGTGTGTCAATTTGTCCATTCCGATCAGATCTACGACCAAAGATTATCAACATGTTTTTAAGAATTTAAAAACATGTTTAATATAATATCTAAAATCCTTTTCATGATTAGAAGTCATGGGAATTTAAGGAAATGTCTAATTCTCTCTCTCTCTCTCTCTCTTTGTTTTTTTTTTTTTTCTTTTTTTTGCTTCTAATTTTAAATGGTTTTTAAAATTGTGTTAGAAAATCATTTTGAAATCATTTCAACTAAATGCTTTTTCTTTTTCTTTTAAAATCTATTTTACCCTTTAAAACACAAAGAATTGTATTTAGAGCCGGTTTGGTTAAACTAATCTACTGTACAAAAAAGCTTATTTAAAGTTATAGACACTTCTGAAATTTTTTTAGTACGTTTGGTTACATTTCAAAAGTGTTTATAAGATTTAAACAAACTATTTTACGGTTTATATGAATTTGAGCTTCTCCCATAAGTTTTTTTTGAGCTTATTTATTAGACCTAGTAATGGGTTGTGTCAAAACGGTTTCATGCTATACTGCATTCACATCGTATCAATTTTTTTTATACCAAATCCTGTCCGTTAGCTTATTGGGTCTAAATATAAAAATCCGAACCCAAAGGTCATTTTTATCTTGTTACATAAACCTAACCATTAAAAGCTTCCCCTTAATTCCTTTTTCCTTTTAAATTTTATAATTGAACAATGAATATATTATGATTGATCTCTTATAAATAAGTTTATA